ATAAAATTTATGTGCTTCTGATTCCCTTGTATAATCTTACTAGGGAATAATATTGGACCTGGTGCTCAGAGGGGTGTAACTAGCACTTGCCTCCTAATTTCTGGGGTGCTTAGTGCCCAACCTTAATGAGGGTTTGTTTGGTTTTTTTTCCATGGGATGTGAGTGCAGCTACTTTTTACAAAAAGCTTTTACTCTGGAGAGCTGTACAATAGTTGCAGAGGAGCTGTTGTGTTCTGCAGTTTTTCAAATAGGAACAAGGGCATCTGTCATACCCACCATCTGCAAACTGCACAGCTTGCTTAATTGTCAGAGGATGTGATTCAGGCACTTGACACGTTATGAAGGACTTGGGTAATAAGATATGAAAACTGTTCTGGGGGTGACTGCATCCGTTCCTGGATAGTCGTTACAGCTGGCGAGTTGGTCGGTTATCTGTGGCATCCTCAGGTTTAACGAGGGCTCAAGACTCCTGGCTGGGTCCTGGCATTTCCCCAGTATTTCTTGTTCAGGACGTGATGGAAGCCCTATTTATTTTAGCTAGATTACTTGGGGGAGGGGAAGAAAGGATGGTTCTTGTTGTATTTACATCTCCTTTCTCTCCCTTCTCAGAGTTAGTTAGGGATCCAGTCTCTTTTGTTGGGGGTGGCTTTGTTGGATATGTCTGAAGTGTTGTGTATTTGGACTGGGTGGCTTTTCTCTGGGGTTTTAGTGCATATAGATGCCTTGCAAATAGGCACTTTACACACTAAGTAGCTGGAAAATTTAAACGTGTTCTCGATTGGCATGTGAACAGGGCACATGAACAAAGAAAAAGGCGGAGTATTTTGTTCTTGCCATTGTCAGTCATCCACCACATGTATAAATATTTCCTGCCTTTTCCTAATCTGATTCTGCTTCGGGAGTTGTCCTTTTTGTAATGCCCCTTGTTTCAGGGTGATAACACAACGTACTGGCTTCTCCAGGGTGCTCAGTTTGTCTCCTATCATAAACAGTAAGTTTAAAAAAAGAAGAAGAAAAAACGGCTCTCAGGCTGTCACGACAGTCTGTTTGTAAATGGTCCATTGCCCAAGAGCATCGTCTCCGATTCTGTGCCCAGACCTCCCATTACATGCATGTGCTCCTGCTCACTGGTGGAGAGCAGTTGAATGGTCCCTTGTGCGGCATGTGCTGGGTCATCAGCGTTACAGATGTCAGAGCAGAGTTGGGGAAGACGGCTGGAGCGTGTTGTGCTGAGCATCCAGGGAAAAGAAGGCTAAACTCAATTTTCCAGGTTACAAAGGTGAAGTAGCTTCCATAGATTCATAGATGTTAGGGGCTGGAAGGGACCTTGTAGATCATCGGGTCCAGTCCCCCTGCACTAGGCAGGAAAAGACAACTGGGGTCAAGTGACGCCAGCAAGGTGACTGTCCAAGGCAGAGTTAAGGAGAATTGTCATATGGTCAGTGCATGTCTAACGGGACCCTCTAACCACTGAAGTTCACTGGATTTTGTGTGTGTGTGCAACAAGAAATAAGTGACAGTGAGTCAGGTTAGAAGCATCCTTTCCATAACAGTGGTACGCCTCTTTCTTTTCCATTATTTTAAATAAGGGGTTTATAGTGTATTTCTCTTTTTGCTTTAGTTCTATGTTTAGCTGATGACATCCTCTTACAGAGGGTAATTGGAAACATAGGTGACACCAACTGTAGAAATGCCAAATACGAGCAGGAAGAGTAGTATTCTTTGCTCTGAATCTGCTTCGACAGTAGCAGGAGCTGGGCCAGTGTATGGAGGAACATTATTGTCTGCAGATACGAGTCTGAGCGACTTATTGGTCTGAGAACCAATTCTTAGCCCCTTTATGCTTGTAACAATGTGTATTTTAAAGGATGGGATTTCTAGCTATATTCCAATAGAGAATCGGTTTTCCTTGTGTGTGGTTCAGATGCATCAAATGGCAAATTAGGAGTGGGTATGTCTTAACAACAGTTGTTTTGGCAATTCTTTTACCATTATAAAATTTGTAACCATAAAAATCTTGAGAAGCCTGAAGCATTAAAAAGCTTTTAAAACTTGGTTGTCATTTCTGTATGAACACCAAAATGCAGTCTTGTTTGTATAATTTCAGGTGTTCTTTGCTCTGTTTACTGCAAAATCCCTTTTTTATCCAAGTTTTTAGTCATGTTAAAGTCATATTTAAAAACTTGGATTAAATTGGTGTAGAAAAATAACAGAGCAACTGGAGAGGAGCAACTTAAGACGTATGAGGTTGGTTGCCCCTGCTCTGAATTTTCTGTTTTAAATGATTTCAAGCAGTTTCTGATATGTTTTCCAACCTTGTTTTAGAATGGTGTCCCCACATCTAAAACAAAAGCTAATGACAAAGATGGCATCCTACAGACATAAGAATAGCACTAGGCAGATGTGGATGGGGAATGACTCCAGACAAAGAAAAGAGCTTTTGCAATTCCACACGGCAGGAGCTAATACTATTTGCAAACATGGTGGAGAGCAGGCAGGGAGATGGGTGGTAACAAAAAGAACTGGATTTCCCTTGACATTTCTCCTTGTCTCTTGCACACAATCCCTATCCCAGGGTAGCCGAATTCTGAATGGCAGCTTTTCACTGTAACAATCGAATCCTGAAAGACTTTTATTGGGAAGGCTAACAAAAAAGTAGGAAGTGATACAATGATATTGGAAAGCTGTAGCAAACTCTACATGTGTATACAGGTTTGCCTCGGGGAGTCCATATAACAGATAATGGGTGTCACTGATTTGCAGTAAACTGGTCAGGTGGTGGTTTTGGTACTGAAATTGTATTGAGCTTTTTTTTGGTTGTAAATATTGGAATTTTTATTCCAAGTTTTTTTTTGGGGGGGGGGTTGAGTTGAGTGTGGTTTTTAGTGCATTTTAACTGGCTTTGGAGGCTTTGTAACACACTAAGAAGTGAAAAGGCAAACAGATGCATTGTCATCCTAAGAGCTGCTATGAAAGTAGTCATTGCTGATGTAAATACGAACTGATTGGGTTCTGTATCTTAATTGTAAGCCTTTCAGTGTGGAATGTGTCCTTTTTATGTTTTTAAAGAATAAATAACCAGGAACAAAGTGGTGGTTTTGGATAAGGGATTAGAAACCAGATCATGGAAATGGTGTGGGAAAGCATGAGAATTTCCCAAATAATTTAGCCAAGGCCCACCAGTGTCAGTTCTGTGCTTTTTTAAAAAAACAAACTCTTTTTACTGAAAAACACTTGTATTTAAGTTCTGGGCAGAAGAATCATGAGGAAGCTATAACTAAACTGAGTATTTTAAATAGAAATATTTCTGGAAATAGTTAACAGAAGTAAAACATTGCATTAATAAATAATGTAATTTAGAACTCTCTCTCCTCAAAGAAATCAAATGTTTTGTATTTCATGGTGCTTTTAACTAAAATGGTAGGTAACTAGTAACTCATGTTACCATATAGCATCTGTGACCCAGGGTGTAGTTTATTCTAAACTAATTTTATAGGGAGAAGCATTGTTTTTAGAAGATGGAATAGTTTTAGATTTTGATGGCATTGTAGGCATTTGTGTCTAGGCATTATTATAGTAGCTTATCCTTATCCTGCTGAAAAAGAGAAACGGTGTACAAATCCCTTATCATTGCTTTTCGTGGGATTAACATGGCACACAAGCTTTAGATGGTCTGCGTAGAGATATAATCATGGAAAGTGCAATTCTGTACATTATACAAATATTTAATAATCAAGCTTATAATGGCTCCGTCCTAGTGGCTCTCACTGGACTATGACCATGCTGTCAAATTAAATGAGATCTGAATTACTTTATTCAGCTGAGAGCCTTGGAAGCCCTCTCACCAAGTCTGTAAAGAGAATTGTAGGTTCTTTGTCGTTGAGGTATCAAAGCGCATTCCCAAGATGTTACTTCACTGTGTGTAGTGTTAAAAATGTTGTTTTAAGCTAAGTGGGTAAAATACTTAAGTACTCATTATGATATAAATAATAATGCTTGAAATGTACTTACTGATTCAATTTACCAGCTTGATTTTAATGTATAAAGTCATACTACACTCTTAACTTACAATTTGGATAACCAGCATTGAAATGGTTAAACAGCTGAAATAATAATAGACCCCAAAAAACAGGGCTAGGAAGGACATCAAGAGGTCACTTAGTCCACTTTCTTGCTCAAGGTATGATCATCCTTGACTAAAACATGCCAGTCAAGCATTTGTCTAACCCGCTCTTGAAAGTTTCCAGGGATGTTGATTCCACGACCTCCCTAGGTGGCCTGTTCCAGTGTTTAGCCACCCTCATAGTGAGACAGGTCCTTCCTAAATTTACTCTAATGCCATTTGAGACCATTTTTCCTGCTTCTGTCCCATATGGCCATGAAGAACAGGCCTTAACCTGTCCTTCATGTATTTGAAGACTGTGATCAGATCCTCCCTCAGTCTTGTCTTCTCCAGACTAAGTAAGGCTAGTTCTTTCAGTCTTTACTCAAAAGTAATGTTTCCCAGGCCTCCAATTTCCATTGTTATTCCATGGGCTCTTTCTAATCTGACCATGCCTTTCTTGAAGTCTGGAGCCCCAAAACTAGACACAACTGGAGGTAAGACCTCCCCACTAATGAAAAATAGAGCAGAAGAATCGCTTCCCTTGATTTGGAAGGGCCGGTCCTGTTTAATACAAATCAGTATGCTCTTGGACTTTTTACATCAAGAGCACACTGTTGGCTCGTATTGATCTTCTTCTCTGCTGTGACCCCCACATCCCTGTATTTCTGCATGCAGATATTTTGTCCAAAGTGCAGGGCTTTGCAGTTGTCCTTGCATTTCATCTGATTAATGTAGGATCATTTCCAGGTCGTTTTGAATCCTAGGCCTACCATCCAGAGTGTCTGTAGCTCCGCTTGGTTTGGTGTCATCCACAAACGAATTGTATAACCTTTCCACGTTGCCATATTTATTAAAAACAAAAAACAACACCACAAAAAACCCCACTCCATGCTCATGATTTTTTTTCTCTCCTCCCATCCCCTTTCAGGATTCTGTCGAGAGCCTTCAACAGAGCATGAGCCACCTACCGGTAAGTATTAGTTGTAAAAAGTTTTGGTTTGCCCAGAGATAGAAGGGTTGGTGCAGTAAGCACAATTGTTTTGGGTATTGATTGAATGCAGATTATATTACAAATCATAAATTACCCGAGCAAGTCTCCATTTAACCTTGGAGGTGTTGATCCCCATCACTTGATTAGCTGGGGATCAGGAAAGGAAGGTCTTCCAGAGCTGCTTGCACTTCTAATGGCATCTCTCTCAGCCTGATGACCTCCCTGCTTGCAGCTTGCGAGTGGCCCTTCCACACTTTGCTGGAGGGTGGTGTTGAAGTAAGGGGCAGTTTCTTCTCACCGGGGAGTGGGGGGAATAAGCAATCTCTATTAGGTTGCCTACAGCCTGAAAGTGTGCATCTGGTTCCTGGTCCTGCTCTCATCTCTGGTGGGGATGCTGGCTACCTTGTGACCTGAATTTTGAGTGTTCTGCATAACATAATAATGTATTATTACTAGAATAAAATCCCCTTAATTTGGGATTATTCATTGATAGCCAGTGGTCTCTGTGGTGCCTTTTATGCAATGTCAGCTAAGGCTCTTTGTGAAAAGGGTATTCTGTGAGCCACGGCTGCTGACTTACCAAGAATTTGCAGCATTTCCCCCAAATTCTTTCAGGCATGCATTCCCAACATGGAATGGTTGTTACCACTCTATGTAATGCTATGACTAAAAGGGAGGAAAATCCTGAAACCCTTTTGTTAGAATATGAGTCAAATAATAAGAAAAGTTCCAGAACCGTTCTGAAATAGAGAAAGTAAGCACAAAATTAAAATGAACACATTGTAAAATACATGCTGTCATGACTGATATGCTTTTGCAAGCCTTACATACAGTTTTAAATTGTTGTGATTTTTTTTTTCTTTCTATTGTGTTAAATAGAAGGTAGCCATGGTTCTGAGACTCTCTCTGTTAGTGGAAATAATCTTTAAACTTTGGTGTGTCATGAAAAATACTTCCAAAAACAGTGTCTGTCTCTCAGTCATTAAGTGATACGAGGCCCTACTCTGAAGGTAAAGTATAGAGAGAGGTGTCTTAACACTCTTGGCCAGTTGATGGATACTGACCCATTCATAACTCAAGTGTATCCTGTAAAGCAATAGAGTTGTACATCTGAGGGGTAGGTTTTGGAGATGTCACCCCCAGCTCTGCTCGGGGAATTTGGGTGCCCCAGCTTCAGTTCTTGAGGCATCTTTGAATAACCTTTGCATTGTTCTCCCTAGGACTCTGTAAGCTTGGGATATTCCCATTTCACGTGTTTGTTTGTATCTCCTATTCCAGAAGGGCACTCTCACTATCTTTGTTGGCTCATTGATGCCATCGACTCACGGGAGCCCTTTAATGATGCTCGGTATGCCGGGCTGCAAAACATGACTGTGTGTGGTGTAATAGGGCTGCAGGTGTGGAGTCTTAATTGTTAGCGCTCTGGGAAGTGGCTGGCCTGCAGCACAGGGAGGAGGAAGCTATAGCCCACTGAACTGGCATGATGCTTTGCCGAGGATGCCGGGAACATCTGCATCTTCTCTGCATGCGGTGTCCAAATGACCATCAGCTCTTTACACTGGGAAAGATGACAACTGTATGTTGGGTTACTAAAACACTCATGCACCAGAGATCTTCAAAGTCCAATGCTATGTCACAGGTTCAGGCTAAGTTCATTTCTATGAGTAGCCTCCATATACCCCTTCAATTAGCATAAGCGGGGACAAGGGCAGTCAAAGGTCAAGAGAAGTTCAAAATAGCATAACCTTTTTTGCTAGTGTTACCAAACAGCTGTAATCCTGCAGTGCTCACCAAGCTTTTCTTTACCATCATGTTTACTATAGAGCTATAAAATGCGAAGAACAAGGCCTGGCTTGATACAAGGGAAGTTGGAAATCGAGCAGTTAAGAATAGGTAGCATTGTTGCTTAAAACAGGAGAAATAATTGATTTATGTTATGGTGCCCAATTAGGCTGTAAAGTGAGAAACGTTTAAAGCAACCCTGTGGCTTCAAGGCAGCTCTTTGCTCTGATTCCTGTTCAGCAAATAGGAGGCACCCCAATAAAGGTCATCAGCTCCATGAGCTAAATTATTAATTCCTTTCATGCCACTCAGGGCTTGTAAACAGTATATAATACAAGAAAACAATTGGCACTGTTCACTTATTGGCCAGAGAAAAGGTCAAAGGTTAAATAGTTGTATTGGCAACAGCTGTTCTTCATAGTCAAGTAGACTTTTGTCCTTTTTATCTTCTCTTGGAACAAGCCTGTTTCCAAAATTTTAGCTGGCTGTTATCCATATCTTTCTTCCCCCTCCCTCCCTGCTTAGCTAAAACTGTTCTTCCAAGTTAAACATGTTGTATGTGATGAATTGTGGGAGCAGGCAGAAAGGATGAAAAAGAGAACCAGCTGTCTCAGCTTTAAAAAAGCTTTTGGTTTGAAATATTTTTTGTGTGTGTGGGCTTTGTACAAGTGTTTTAAAACGAAACACTCCTTAACTGGGTGGAATAAAATGGTGTCTTTTCTATATAGTTTTAACTTGTTTTTAAACTTAAAGTTTAAAACATTTCTTTTATTATCATTTAAAAGCGATGTCATTAATTTATTTTGCTCTAAATCTCATTTTGTTAATAGCGTAGTAGAAACATAAAAATGTTTAGTATTCATTTTTTATGTGATGAGGCTTTAAATCTGTAAGTTTTCGATATATATACAAGTTTTGGCAGCTAGTTTAGTTGTTGAACAGGACTAGATCCTCCCCCCTCCCACCTCTTGCTTTTTGCTTTTGATTATCGTGGCATCTGAAGCATATTATGATGGCTGAATATTCCTTCCAACTTGTAAGAGAGGATGCTACAGTCCACAGTCCTTCTAGCTTTAATTTGAAAAGACATTGACCCAGACTAATTAAAAAGAAACAACTATCTAATTATGATTGTGGCAAACTATTTCAGTTAATAATTCAAGAGTTTGGGTATTAACATTTAGAAATATTGCAGTTATGAACCTGTCCATTGTGTTAAGCTGACACAATTACTTGACTTCAACATCTAAAAACCCAAAGAGCTCTTGTTAGAGAACTGCTTATTCTACACTGCATTTGTCTTGTGTGTGGGTGGTTATCAAGTGTCATTCAAAAGTTATCAAATGAAATGATTCCAGATGTTTGCGGGTGTAGCTTACTGCTGTAAGTGATTCAGTTATTTGCACAATCATTTTCCTTGTGCCACTGCTGCTGACTCCTGCTGACCACTTCTAGCTTCTCTACCATCTGGCTGACTTGCAGGGCAGCTGACCCCTCCTCCCCCCAAACAGCAGCAGGTAACCTACAAATGACCATCTGCTGACCCATTACTTTAACCTTTTATGAAAGCTAAAGGAGTTGTTCCCATGCCAATTTTTCAATATCAGTAGCATGCATGCATTTTCAGCAGCAAAATAGATGACTTTTACTATTGGTTTGTCACGTTAAAGTTTGGCTGGATGTGAAGTTACACAAACAGCCGTTTTATACGCCATGAGATTAGACTCCTTCCATGCATTTGGGATTGCTAAATCATATATGAAGTACCTTTTTGCTAACTATGAAGTTAAGGGATTGTTAGTGCCCTCAAAGGATTAAGGGTTCTTGTTGGGAAGAAATGCCGTTTGGAGATGGGGCCAAAGGAAGGAAGAAACAAAACCAAACTTTTCTATAACCAAGGAAGAAAACTTGGTAAAATTCTCCTGTGTGACATGGGCATATGACTGTTGCTGCTGACTCCATACACATCTACAGTTTTGCATAAGAACAGGCTGTTGGAAATGCTTACACAATTACCTTGTTTGTGCCTGTCGACCTTGGGCACATCTTACATAAAAACAAATGTCTGACCACCTAGGAGGAGCCACAATATTATGGTAACTTTCTTCAATTAATTGCCTGCCCACCAAGGAATAAATTGGGGAAGAATACAGGAAAAATAAAACAAAAAAATTAAACCTTGGCCCAAGAGTGAACTTTGTATCGTGCAGTTAAATTGTGCTGCCAGGAGTGAGTTCCTGAGTTGAGGAATGTAGAGTTGTATTACTGCATTGTTTGGGCTCTTAGATGTGGGAATGCAACTTGCTAGCAACAAAACGGAGAGTCTTCAAATTCTCTCCCTTGTTGCCCTTGGGAGACTGGGGGTATCAGGAGAACAGAAACACAAGCGATAACCCTGCTGAAGTGGAGTCATAAAATTGTATATCAAGATCATGAGGAAAAAAGCTGTAGTGATTACTACCAAAGAAAAGAAGTGGGGCACAATGGTTGAGGATCCCTGGCCTGCTTTTCAAAACACAAATTGGTCCTTGTGTGATGATTCCTAAGGAGCGAAGAGATGGCACTGCATTTCCTAATGCACGATTGCAGCTGACCATGTTCCTGGCAGATGAGTCTGTCCTCAATCCAAACTTTTTTTTGGAGTTTAGGCCCTGTCTGGAATTTTTTAGTCAGATCCATCTGTCACCGGGTCTGTCCTTCCTGGCATACTATAAGAAGCAAGTCCAGTCTCCAGCTCAATGTTGGACGTAAGCTCAGGGCATCCCAGTCTCCCAGACAGACCTCCACTGGTGGTGCTGCTGCTGCTCATGTGTTGGAAGAGGGCACCTGCTTTATGAAAACTTTTGAAGCAGGATCTCTTTTCTGATAAGGGTCCTTTTGAAGGGGCTCCAGACCCTGCTGGGATCTAATCATCTTGACCCTTCCTGCCATTTCTAGTCCTGACCCATTTCAGAGGTTAATATGATATAGAATTTAAAGCTGATGGAGTGTGTAGTTTAGGAATTCTTTGCAAACTGATAAAAAGATAGTTGTTTTCAAAGACAGCTGTATGTCATAGTTTTGAGGATGCATGTTATCTGACTAGAGAAATGAATGCTTTGAAAAGCAGGTCTGGCAGTAACAGATGTGTGTAGGGAAGATGAAAATCTCTTAAGGGGACAGAGGAGAAGATAAATTCTAAGATAAAAAAAATTGGAGATCTGGTGTTTCTGTTGGTCATGCTTTTTTATTAAAACTAGGAACCTGTATTATAAAATTAACTTTCCTTTTTACAGAATATATACAGAATAAACTATTACAGCAGCAGTGAAAAGCTGAACTGTATTTGAACACATGTATTTATGAGAGTTATAAAGAAAGTGGCATCAACTGGTGTAGTACTTAAGAGTTTTGACACTTCACTGAACCTATTTCCAGCTGCTCATAACTTGCCTGATTCTTTTTTCTAGTTTTGGTCTCTACTTTTCTCCATATAAAAGAATTTTTGAGCTTTCTTCAAACAGATATGCGCTGGAAAGTGTCTGGAGATAGGAGTGGGAAACTGGTGTTGCAGTAGCAATCCTTGACTACTCTGCCAAAATTTGGCTTGCATGTGACAGTTACGACCCTTCTGGACATGGTGTGTGGTTCATTTTGCATGGCTTTTTTTCTGTAAGCTCAAAGCCTATGGTTAAGTTGGGCATTCTTGCACTGAGGATCTGAAACTGTTTGGGTGGGCTGCAGCAGTTGTGAAGTTTCAGATTTGTTCTGCACCTCTCAAAGACTAGAAGGGGGGAAAGTTTGGGTGTTGAGGACCTCCTGCAAGCCCTGGGGGAGGAGGTTCTAGGAGTTCTCAGCGTTCATGGTTTTACCAATTTTTTTTGTAATACCTGGTGGTTTTCTTTAAAAGTCCATCTCCTTGGTTAGGCAACGCACTATAATTCTGCTGCTATTTAAAAGGGTGTATGCTCTTAAATGTGTGTAATGGCAGAGTAAAACCTGATAACTTAACAAGCGTAACTGAGCACCACAGTGACATCTGCTTATCCGCAACTGGGGATGGCATGGAGATGGTCTTCCAGCTGCCTTTTCAGTATGTGCATTTTCAGATTCAGTTTTGAACCTGAAAGGCTCAGCCTTCGCTTAGGGATTAGCAGCTCCTTTCCAAAGGCTCAGATGGGGAGAGGAGGTAGGAGAGGAACCCTCAGCCATCCACCCACCCAACTAAAAAATCCTGCTACCACACACACTGAAACAGCAGCACACAGGTTAAATTATTACTACTGCATGATTCAATCCATTTACAGTTTGACACTTTGAAAGCTTGTGACTGACAATGGTCTTTCAGGAGTGTTCTCTGTGCTGTACATATTATGGAATATAACTGCTTGTTGCAAGCAGCTATGTTTAGAAGAGGAGGCAAGTAAAGGTCCTTCTTCATATTTTATTTTTTCTTAAAAATAAGAAAATAATAAATGTTGTACCAAAATCTCTCAAGAGAATATTCAGACTGTATAAAGAACACTTTGAAGTCTGGAAAGGTCCAACCTTTAAGTTGATGAACTTCAAGTGTTATTTTACATACTTGTCTTTACACACATGTTATGGTAAAGTATACTCGTGTGTCATGGTTCAGTAGCTCTGATGGTTATGTCAGAATTGTAGGGGTGGGGGGAAGGAACAACCCAATGCTGGCATATTGTTTTTCTCAAATAAGGCGAAACTTTAAAGATGAGGGAAAAGATGGTTTAAATGTAAACTCAACTTGTTCAGAGTATAAATATATAATTTATATGGCAGAAATGAGTATTCTTAAAGTCTGTCTTTCTCATTAGCTACAGATGTGGAGCAGATGAGTTCCTCCTCTCCTGTTCTTCCCGTGAACTCCATGGGCAGTAAGTACCTCCTTTCTCTTGTCCCACACGGCCAGGTGGAATTTCTTCATTGCTGACAACTTTGGTTTTTGATCTGAGATTGCCAAACAAATGATACTACTTCAGTGTAGGAGCTCTGAAAAGCAATGCAGTTAAATCTTTACTGAACAAAAATACCATAGGCCTAGCCTGTGCTGAGACCTTTTACAGGTGTAGCTGTATCAGTTGTGTCCTTGATTCCTCCCCTCCCTTCTCCTCCAGCAAAGGTCATAAAGTAGATTAGTGGGGCCCAGCTTTTTTGGCAGAGATGCCAAAACTTAGTCCTGCATCCCCACTGGGTGCCACTGCAGTCCCTATCCTTTGGGTTCTGCTTTCTACTCCATTCCTGTGCTCCTTGTCCAATCTGCTGCTCTGCTTTCTGCTCCCTGCACTATCTGCTACTGTGTTGTCCCCCCTCCCCGGTCCGTTGCATGCCACACGCAGGCTGCCTCTGTATCACTTGTGGCATGTGTGCCGCAGTTTGGCCACCCCTGGAGTAGATGGTGAAATAAAGAACAGCATTATTTCTTTACCAACATAATTTCCCATACTCTCAAGATATTTTTAGTGGCTTATCAGTGCTAGTATTGTCAGGAAACCCCCCCTAGTCTGCACAGGGCTTTGTGTACAGATGTTCTCCTACTCTGCCAGGCCAGAGGGAGTTAGGTTCCCAAATCCTGTTCAATTAATGTAATTATCTGTGCTTAACTCACTTAGGCTGCTTGAAACCTTGGCTTTGGGACTCTCAAAATCCGTCTCCCTGCACAAGAAGCAGTGGTTTGTTTTTTAAAGACTCCATCTAGTGGTAATTAGTGCATCTGATGCCCAAACATGTGCCTTTGGCAGTGATAATCCACTAGGTGGCAACAAGTCCTTATCTGACAATGGGAGCTCAACGGCCCAAATTCTGAACATCTGCATCTAAAGTGCAGATTTCTTGTTCCCAAGGCAGTGTTTTCCATTAGTTGGGATCTCCCAGAAGAGGTAAACGGCTAACCAGAGGTTTTCAGAAGATAATGGTCTTTGCAACATGGAGGTCCCAAGCCCAGGATATCTCCATACCCTTTTCATCGTGTTGATGGACTGTGCTGGCTTCTTACCAAAGATCAACACAGGTTGGGAGAACCTGCATGTACTGGGATTGTTTTGTGGCAAGCCTTTGCCGCCTTGGTGGTTTGGGATTTAATAAGCTCCTTGGACCTTCCTTTTACGTGTGTATGCATGATTATTTGTTAAAATGATATTTATGATGAGCAGTAGCATGATCTAGGTAGACTGGTGTCAGGAAGCCAGCTTTGTATTAGTTGATTGATTCAGTTGCAGATGATCAATTTTTCCATGAACAGCGGTGGCAACTTCATGTGCACACAAACTTCATACACTTTTGAAAATGGGTACATTTACGTTAAATTGTGCAAAATAATTTACCATTTAATTATTGTTTTAACCCAACATTACTTCAGCTTGTTGAGGGGGTCTTAAGGCAAAATTACCTCCTATTATGTGAATACATTTGCTGAATGCTCAAAGTAAGGCTGTATAACTTGAATTGAACCCTGGCTTTCTTCTTCCCTTAAATCACTCTTAGCATCTGTCTGTTATGTCATTGAGCTTGTCCCCACTTTGTAGGTTTGTAGATTGTAAAACCAGGAGTAACCTTGGTAATTATCTACTCTGATGTCCCATTTAACACAGGCTTCTGGACTTCCGTGTATAAATTCTTGCTGCAAATTCAATAGCTATACTTGATTTTTTAGAAAAACAGCCTATCTGGATTTTAAAATTCCCAGTAACCCAGGATCTACCACACCCATTGGTAAATTGTTCCAGTGGTTGATACCTACATCATTTAAAAGCTTGTGTTTTATTTGTAGTCTACATTTGTCCAGCTTCAACTTGCAGCCAGTGGTTCTAGTTAACTTTTTGTCCGCTAGATTGCAGTGCTTTCTTCAGATAATGTTTTCCAGTTCCTTGCTAGGTACTTACATCAGTCAATGCTCAACCTTTGATAAACTAGACAGATTTAGCTCCTTCAGTCCTTCACTAAATAGTGTGTTTTCTGGTCTTTTAATCATTCCTTGTGGGTTTTCTTGGCATCTTCTTAATTTTCAGCATCTTCCTTGAAGCATGGACAGCAGTATTGCACATCATGTGGAGGAATGTTCACACTAGTGCCAACTACAGAGATAATAGCTCTCCTACTCAATAGTCCCCTGTTTCTACAGCCAAGAATCACATTAGCACCTTTTGCCCAGCGTGTCTTTGAGAGCTCCTTGTCAACTGATTATCCACCTTGCCTTCCAAATTCATCACTTCTGCCTTATTTCATTGCCCAGGAACTTATTTTGCTGTTGCTTTATCCCATACAATCAAACTCCAAGTATTTTCTGACCTAGGAGTACAAGAAGATAGAAAAAAATCGGTTGGTGAAAACCAAACATCAGAAAAATGCATAGTAAGTTTGGAGGGCTACAGCAAAATGATACTTAACCAGTTCACCGGCACAAATGGCAGCAATTTGTTCAACCCACTTTAAATCTCAAACAAGTTTGAAAATTGAGCGTTCTGTCTACCCGTGTAATAAAGTTATACTCCGGGTTTGTATGGGGACCACATGTTTTCTGTACTCCGCTTGAGATGGAGCAGATCTGTTACTGCCCACTGAGTGATCTTATTTATTTATTCCATGGGGATTGCACTAGATGACCTCCTGATGTCCTTTCCAACCCTATTTTTTTAAGATCCATTTTCTATGAAAGAGTGTGTAGGTGCCTTGTGCGTGCGTGCGCCATCTTTATTTCCTTTGTACACCATCATCACTTAAAAGTATTCCTGAAAAGTCTGAAGTGGTCGATCATGCTTTGGATGACTGTCTTCCATAATATTCAAATTAAAAGCTGTGCTTTATGTTGAAGAGCAGTAACAGTTGCACCCCAAACCAGAATTCCTCTGTCTTTTGTATTTATTTGTCACTTGCTTAAACATGTAAATATGCCTGCTGCTTTTAGTAAAGCTACATTGAACATTGTGTATAAGGGTATAAATCCCTGAAAATGAGGTGTTTCAGTGGAAATGCAGGCTGATCCCTAATGTTAACATTGGTGTCTATTGGAAAAAGCCTTCAATAATTGAACTATGCCCTTCAGTGTCAGAAGTTTGGGAAAAGAGGAGCCTTCAAAGTCCCAGCCCTGCAAGGAGCCAGTCTGCTTGGCTTTTTGTAAGTGAGCAGGTCCATTGAGTTCAATGGGTTTATTCATGTATGTAGAACTAAGCATGTTAGGTTTGATTTTTGCAAGACTCTCACAGTCCAGATACCTTTGCAAGTGTTTTTGTTTTGTTTTTGAGAGAGAGAGAGAGAGAATTTGTCCAAGTAACCCAGTAATTTTCTGGTTTTTGCTCCCTTGGGAAGTGTTTTGGTTTTGGAAAAAATCCAGCCCAAAGGAAGCTTTTAGTGTGCCTTAAAAAGAGCAGTGCCTTCTGTTTTGCTGGCTGAGAAACAGCTCCTTTTCAAAGACCTTAAAGTTTTTAAAATAACCCCGCCCC